TGTATCTAATTGCATCTGGCCAAGCTACCTAGTTAGAGTATAAAAAAACTTAACTAAAAGGCCTAGCTAGCTTCAAATTCAGTTCAAGAAAAAAAAACCTACTTGAAAATTAAACTTTTTTCATGCGCATTTAGATAGGTATATACCAAACTACAATATGCAATTTTTAATGGGTATATACCTAGTATGTGTGTTTAGACCGGTATATACCCAAATAGAATCTGGTATGTCACACATACCCAACATACGTGTTTAAATACCTAAAAATGTGTATCCTAAATGGTATTATACCCAATTAAATGTACATATGAAATGCATGCATGTAAATACCTAGCTTGTAGTACGTTTGAAACGCATGCACGTCACATACCCAAAAAATTAAAAAGCACAACACACGAGACTTATATACATACATCACATCTACATGTACCTAATTACATCTGGTCAGCTACCTAGCGAGAGTATAAAAAAAACTTAACTAAAAGGCCTGGCTAGTTTCAAATTCAGTTCAAGAAAAAAAATGTAAGCTACTTGAAAGTCAAAATTTTTTCACGCCCATTTAGATAGGTATATACCTAACTAAAAATGGGTATCCGAAATATGCAATTTTTAATGGGTATATACCTAAATCAATTCTGTTTACTGGTTATATTGTACTTATTTTTTCTCCGGTATATACTGATATTTTAGATAGTATATACTAGATTTTTCAAGTATCCAACATATATTAAATCGAACGGCTAGGCGGCGTGATGCACAACTGTACCAAAGTTTTTTTCACATATTCGTACATCATATAATTACAAAAAAATGTACTTCTAATACCCAGTTTTTTTTGCCATAAAATTAACATAGACTAAAATTGAAATTTTTTCATTGCATGGGATTTTTTTTCCGTTTCATACCAAATTTTTGAGTATACGACCCATTCGTACCTAAAAATGGAAAGTGACCCATAGTGCATATTTTGTCACTCAAATTGCTAAATTAATGGAGTCATGAATGTAATAATTTGGTACGGATACATTACCATATAAATTTGTTGCGATATTATCCATGTTTCCAAATACATTTGAATATAATAAATTTTCTGCGATATATATAATAAATTTCCAACTAATTTGTTTCCATGTTTCCAAAAACCAACAATCAGTATTTAGTGTTACATACTTAGTTTCCATTTTCACATATACTTACTTTCCATTTTTCCAAAAAATTAATTTGTTTTTCCATATACTTAGTTTCCATTTTTCACAATAATGTTACCATTTATTCAGACCCCAACGTGAAGCAAGTAAGTTTCCATATTTACAAGATATTATTTCCAATTTCACGGGTATTTAATGTTTCCATTTTTGAAATGTACACGCAATTATGGAAATTCTCTCATCCGCATTGCATGCATATAAATGCATTTATTCCTTTTTTTTACTGTCTATTCAAATATGTGGATTCCATTCATTATTAAATACTATACTCTAAACGGGTGTATACCCATTAAGCTATGTACCCAAATGATCAAAACCGATCAGTAAGCATCCTACGGCTCCTAACGTTGGAGCCCATACTCCATGGAGCCCCATCCGTGCGTCCTATATCTATATATATAGAGAGAGACACACACACTGAAAAGTTGGGTAACATAAAATAAAAAATTTACTCGGACTAGGAGTGGGGGAGGTGGCACATGGTGGGATCGAGATTGGTCGTCGGCGAGTTAACTTTTAACTATATATAGAACTCCTAAGAAGTTGGATAACATCAAGTAAAAAAATTACATGGGAGTGGAGGAGGGGGCACATGGGTGGGATCGAGATTGGTTGTCGGTGAGTTAAATTTTAACTACATATAGAACTAATAAGAAGTTGGATAACATTAAGTAAAAATTTACTCGGACTATGGGAGTGGGGGAAGGGGGCGCAGGGGTGGGATTGAGATTGGTCGTCAGTGAGTTAAATTTTAATTGCATACTATGGACCTGGTGGGGAGCATATATATATATATATATATATATATATATATATATATATATATATATATATATATATATATATATATATATATATATCGGGATGGCTATATATCTGTTGACAGATTTTTTTTTATAGCTGAATCATTCGCTTTTTAGGCCGTTGATCTTTCTTTGAGATTGGTGCAATCCTAGATTAGTATCATCTAGTTTGTTCCGTCCGTGGGTTACTGGCTCTTTGGGCTTTATGTGGTCTCACATTTACTGTTCAATTTTGTGATACTACTAGCCACCGACAGGGAGAGTGTTTGGGATTTTTTTTGTGCAGAATTGCTATATCTTTGTCGATAATTTTTTCCCAAAAATCTGTCACTTTTCTATTCATTCGATTTGATGCTAAGATTCGGTTTTGTATGTCCTGTGCCTGCATGGAATTGGAATCCAATGTCTGGTCATTAACGTGTTCACACCATAAGACCCTTTTGTTACTCTTTTTACCCTTATTTAACGTGAAGTTCGCTGACAGAATATCGGATGATCCCACACGTACAAATTACATCATACTTACACTATAATTACATATATATATATATATATATATATATATATATATATATATATATAATTTTAGTGTATTTACGATGTAAGTCTGAAATCCACTTGAGCCCATTTGAGCCCACGTGAGCATCATATTGTCCATGTGGCCCGTTTGTTTGTTTTTTTTATTTTGTTTGTGTATATTAATGTCATCCGTTAGATGTTGATTCAAAGGATAAGAAATCTGCATGATATGAGGCTAAAAAATCGGTCACATGAGACTGCCTATACATCATGTGACAGATTTTTTAGCCTCATCATGCAGATTTCTTATCTTTTGGATTGCACCAATCTCAAAGAAAGATCAACGGCCTAAAAAGTGAATGATTCAACTATAAAAAATCTGTCAACAAATATATAGCCATCCCGTATAACTAATATTCAGCACCTAAGGTGCTACTCCCTCCGTGCCAAAAAAAAGACAAACCCTGGTTTCCGTGCCGAACGTTTGACCGTCCGTCTTATTTGAAAAAATTATGAAAAAAATTAAAAAGACAAGTCACGTATAAAATATTAATCATGTTTTATCATCTAACAACAATGAAAATGCGAATTATAAAAAAATTTTATATAAGACGGACAGTTAAAATTGGATACGGAAACCCAGGGTTTACCTTTTTTTTTTTTGGACGGAGGAAGTACGTATTAAACGAAGTGTGATACTGACCTCACCTTCCACCCACAGCGCAACCCCGTTCCACTAATGATTCCAGTAGTCAAATTTTTACTATTTACACATCCACCAGATAGCCCACCATATATAGACAGTTTCGTGTAGTAAATTTTTAACTAATCACTTTCATTTACAGTTAACTTATCATAAACAGTGTGATATTTATTTTAGAGTTATTGTTTTACTCGATTTGTTGATGCCATAAATTTTTTTTATATTATTCTGTTTCAATATTTTCGCAAAAATTAAATGTTTGTTATTTTGTTTTTAGGAACCAACTTTTTCTAATTTCAATTTTACTTTTATTTTTTAGATGCTTCTTGTTTCAAATATCCAAGAATTAAATGTTTGGGGAACAAACTTTTTTATTGTCTATTATTGAACAAGTCAGGTTTTTTTAACCGTTATCGAGATAACCCTTGTGTGTTGTACTCCAATTTATTTAGCATATTGAGTTATTTTTTAGCTCAGCACGCAATGAATTGATAATTACGAGCCATTTTTTATTCCTTTTTTTATTAAATAAATGATTTTTACTTGTCAAATACATCATGTCGAACCATAATCAATTTGCCTTCAAGTTAAATATTAACTTGTCATCCTAAGTTAAATTTTTACTGATCAAATAAATCCTATCAAACCTTCATCAAATTGCCATCAAGTGAAACGATAACTCATGCTTCTATGTTAAATTTTACTACTACTCGCACCCACGTAGATGCAACGATAGTAATTTTTTTTACCACACTAACTATGAGTATTTGTAGCATAGGTAACAAACCAGTGAACCACCGCTTCGTATCCAGCCATTATCCCTTAAGTTTTTTCCGAATCTAGAACAGCATCCTCAAATTCCAGGCAGCGGCGGATGAGACTCTAAGATCCGTCGATGGCGACGGACTCCGACCAGCACAACTTTGCGGCGCTCTGAAGGGATGTGCTTCATGCTCTGCTCGACCACGGCGACCACGTCTGCTTTATCCAGTTCCCGCAGCAGTTCGAGGGCATCGACCCCAGCGACCGGCAACCCAACCTCGTTTCGACGTCTCTATGCGCGTCATGGACGGACTCCAGGGGTGGTTGAGTCTTCTGCCGCGCACCTGAATTACAGCGCTTTCCAGGAGACCGAAACAAAAACGATGAGCTGATGAAAGCCGCACTAATATTTTGGACCAATCTTACCCCTCTCTGATGGACGGTCAGATTTAATTGGTAGCTCATGTTACCTCCTCAACAACTGTTGCTCCCACTTGAATGGGTTGACGACATATCCCTCATCATCATGTTTACTCAGGCCAAGAAGCCCAGTGCTCTTAGTGGTTAGTTGTTGCTAGCTAGTTGCTGCATTCATGTGGTTTGTTGGTGCTCTACATGTCTTACCAAGTTGAGGGTGAAACTAACATATGCTCCTATATCATATTAATTAGTATTATATATGTGGCTGGCTGATTGTATATTGGCATCATGGCCTGTATTGTCCCCTGTAACATGGCATTTGCATAATGCTTGGATCAACTTGGATTAGTGGATGCAAGTAGCTCAGGAAGCCAAATTATATCCCTGTGATTAATTTATGTTGTTGGTGCATGTTTCTCCACCACGAATTGGCTTCATCGTTTTTGTTTGGGTCATTTTCAGTTTCTTTGTTTTTTTACTTGACACGAGCATTGTAATCATAGTTAGTCTAATTAAAATATATGTACAGCGTAAAGGAGATCGAACCGGTATGTAACTTCTATATAAGATGGAACGAGGGGAACAACAACAAACAACAATTTCATTACACACAGAGGTGAGCTAGGTTGGAGTCAAAGCTAAGGAGAAGAGGAAAAGGAGGTCAGGGAGAGGGAGGTCATGGTAATGGAAAGCGCCCCAGAGAAGTTGAAGCTGCTGCTGGGGGTGCTGGCGCTGCAGTGCTGCCTCGCGGGGTTCCATATTGTGTCCAGGGCAGCCCTCAACATGGGCATCAGCAAGATCGTCTTCACCGTCTACCGCAACTGCATCGCCTTGGCATTGCTCATACCTTTTGCATACTTCCTTGAAAAGTGAGCTCAGACATACCTCTTCGATTCAATTCGTTGCCATTTATGCATGAAATTCGAAATTCTCAGCTAAATTGTACTTATATTGAGATTTAGAAGGGAAAAAGAAACATCTATTCTGTGTGCCTGTGAGAATACATTTTTCCTTTACATTCTATTTATCTTGCTATGTTTGTTTTTGTCCTGTCTGTTATAAGCTGACTATACATTTTATCTTACATCTGTAGGAAAAATAGACCACCCCTCACCTTCTCTTTGCTGGCCCAGCTCTTCTTTCTGGCATTCTGCGGGTAAGTTCGATGCACATTGCACTGAAAGATAAATAGATTGCTTGAGATTATGTATAATGACCATATGCTTTGCTTTATCAGGATAACATGCAACCAGGGTTTCTATCTTCTTGGTTTGCACTACCTGTCTCCAACCTATGCTTCTGCTATCCAAAATACAGTACCAGCAATAACCTTTGCCTTGGCTGCTTCTCTGAGGTAATCCAGCAATAATGTCATTATCATTTAGGCACTTCATTAACTTTTGCTACTCATTGAAGCTATCAATCAAAACTTGGTAATATTTCTTTTTTTTAAAAAAAAGTGCTCCTAGTTAGTAACAAGAACAATAACAGTAATAGCAGTAACATATTGTATTTTGAATGCACATCTGTGTTCATGAAAAGAAGACTGAACAAAGCTAAAAGCTTAATTGGTTAACATTAGTTCGTACGTTTCTGTGCTAATCTGGTGTCTCTACCTTTTATTCTTTCTATGGTTAATTAATAGGCTTGAGCAAGTAAACATAAACAAGAGGTATGGGATGGCAAAAGTGATTGGCACAGTTGTAAGCGTAGGGGGAGCAACTGTCATTACTCTCTACAAAGGGACACCACTGATGAACTTCAAGTCATCCTATATTTTGGGAGCCAACACTGTGTCTCAAAATGTAGTTTTGAATTGGAGTGTGGGTTGCCTTTTCCTCCTTGGCAATTGCATTGCCTGGTCTGGATGGATGGTACTTCAGGTGTCTACTCTTACTTGAACTCAACATATATAGCCAGCCGCTTATGACTAATTAAGTTTCCTGATAGTTTGTTCCATCTACGTATACTATACATGATGCACGCTACATCGTCTCTAGTTGAAATATGCTCTTTTAATTTGTGTAGACCCCAGTCTTGAAGAAATACCCAGCCAGGTTGTCAATGCTTGCGCTGACCCTGGCATTCGGGCTGGTACAATTCTTGGCCATAGCAGCATTCTGGGAGAATGACATTGGGAAGTGGAGGCTTCATTCTGGAGAAGAGCTCTTCACAATCCTCTACGCTGTAATTTTCATTTATCCATATTCCATATTTCCATAACGTTTACGTGTTTCATCGTAATTAAGTACACCGCAGTGGTACTTCAAGATTTGTTGCACAAAAATAAATTGGTAGCAACAATTTTGTAAATTACATGTATATATTCCAAGAAAGCGGCAAACATAATTTCCTTGACCATTTCCATTCATCTTGTCTTCAGGGTCTAGTTGCTTCAGGGGTTGCTTTATCTCTTCAGATCTGGTGCATTGACAGGGGTGGTGCTCTGTTCACTGCTATCTTCCAACCTGTACAAACTGTCATGGTGGCTATAATGGCTGCCGTCATTCTTGGCGATCTACTATACACAGGAGGGTAAGGAAAAACAAATGTAACCTGCAAGAAAAACATTCCATACAGAACGAATAATGATTATGCACATCTGAAAAGAAAAAATGATGAGCATTCAGGCTCATCCATGATTAGTCTAAAACATTCCAATTGTTGGAGCTAAGATTTTTTCTCATTTACAATTATCAGGATCATTGGAGCTGTCCTTATAGTGATTGGCCTCTACCTTGTGTTGTGGGGTAAAAACGAGGAGAAGAAAAGCAACAGTAACCAACCAGATTTGTCAAGGCATCTCCTCAGTGAAGAGTCTTCTCGACCAACGACTGTGACAAGTGATGTTCCATAAAAGCAGTAACCAACCATCACTGCTATTATAAAATGCACAAGTATAGAATTAATGTGCAAGGTGATGCAAGTGTGGATTGATAGGGGTTTTTCTAGGTTATATCTAGTTTAGGAATAATATAGTTATATTTTCATGCTTGGTTCTAATATACAATTCTATTTTCAACATGCTGTTGAGTAGTAGTTGATTGCACCAAAAAGAGACCAAAGATGTTGGATGATTTTATATTGTTTGCTACATACGATTATCATCTTTGGTCTCAGTTCTACTACTCAATTAATAGGAGTGTATGTAGCAAACAATATAAAATCATCAAATTAAATGATAATCGTATGTGATTGAATAGATACCGACCTATAGTATCTACGCTTCTAAAGCATTATGTCTTCACTAGGCTGAGTTCTTCAGGTGACTTTCCCAACTCACCTTCATTTTTCATGTGCACATTTTCCAAACGGTTAAACTATGTGTTATTTTAAAAATATTTTATGCGAAGGTTGCTTTAAAAAATTATATTAATCTATTTTCAAGTTTTTTTAAGCTAGTACTTAATTAATCATACATTAATAAACACCACGCTTCCCAAACGCAGCCTTACGCATGTAACAGTCCCTTGCGAGTTCCATCTACCATTTGTGCTAGTTTTAAATTTGCCTAATTTAGAAATTATATGTTCTCTTTTATTCGCAAAAATTTGCTTCGTGAAAGTTTTATAAATTAAAAAGGTTTAATTTTGGGGGGTATTAAAAGGGTTTAATTCGACTAATTAATTAGATAGCACCCAATTATTAATTGAAGTTATTTTATCTTATTTGATGTTCTAAAGTGGAGCTTATTCCATTAATCCTGAAAATTCTCAGAATTCCATTGTTTCAAATACAAAATATTTCAAAAAGGTCCCTATCCTTTTCTCTATTTTTTTTCTCTTCCTTCATTCCTCTTTTCCATTCTTCCATTTGGCAACCCACGAGATGGGAAATCCTGGCCTGATCCGTGCCGTATCCCCAGGAAAGCTCTCACGTGTCAACTAGTCAGGAGGATAATGTACCAAATGTTGCTGCAATGGCTGATATAGATCGTCAATTGGAGAAAAAGACAGCGGCCTTGAGAGAGAATGTTCCCTCGTTATGTGCCTGCAACCTAAAAAATTATAAAATAATTAAAAATATGGATCAATTTATGTTATCACTACAGAAATAATCAAATTGGACATCTATTCCCAGTTAAAATTTTATTTTATTTTATTTTTATTTTTAGGTCGAATTTGAACATTCACATTTTCATGTTTGTGTAGTGATCGATCTTATCAATTTATTTTTAAAGGATGACTTTCTAGGTGTCATTGTGTAGTCATGCTAGCACCTACACTTTTAGTTCTCAGCTACTGCCACACCTCCTTTCTTAGGCACAACCTGAACTGGGTTAACCCACTCGCTATACGGCACAAGATAGATTATCCCGACGTGTAGGAGTTTCATGACCTCTTTTTTCATGACTTCTCTCACCGCATTATTTAGCCTTCGTTGTGGCTCTCGAGAGTGCGCACAAGAACGATATAAACGGATACGATGTGTGCAGAGAGCCACACTAATCCCCTTGAGATCTTAAAGTGAGTAGCCTAGAACAGAATGATGCTTTTCTAGCACAGCTGTGAGTCAGGAGGTCTCATCATCAGTCAACTTGTCACTTATGATGACGGGTCAACTTGTCACTTATGATGACGGGTGACTCTGTATTACCATGCAGAAAAAACATAGCGTAGGCCTAAAGGCAAAGACTTGAGCTCAATCGGAGGTCATGAAGACGGATCGGTTTTGGGTAACTCGATCATGTCTTCAAAATCGTCCTCTTCCTCAACAAATGCAATGGCATCATCTTCAAGGAGGGATTCAGGGACTCAAATGGAGAGACAACCAACATGTTTTCAATTGGCTCAGACTCGGGAACAGGTTCCGTCAAGGAGTTTTTCGACCTTGAGATCGGGAAGGAAAATGACAATTTATCGAGTTTGATGTCGAGAACTCCGGTTCTCGGCACATCTAAGAAGAGTTTTTCTATAGAATGGCCTATTATGAGGGCGAAGTCATAGACTTCGAACACATGGAAATCAAGGATGACCTTGACATCATTGTGCCTGATTGGCGCTCTGCGGATAGCCCTATACCCTTCGATGGTAGAACCGAACGGTTCTTAAAAGGTTTTGTCTGTGGGTGCTAACAGTTCGTCCCAAAACCGATATAATGTATGATGCAAAGCTTTGTCTTTAGGCCTGTGGGTGCAAACAGTTCCTAAAAAGGATGCCAATATAATGTTTGCACTGCTAGTGGGATCATTAAAAAGAGTTTGCACCATGGCCTCTCTCATGAGACAGGGAATGGTTAAGGACGGGGAGCTAATCCGAATTGCTTCAGATGAAAGCTCCACCTCCCTTAACTACTCTTCACTCATGATGGTAGCTAGTTGATGAACTACCTCTTTAAGGAAATTTTCCTCGAGAGGTTCATTCCAACTACGTGGGACTGGTGGTCTCTTTTGCACAGAATAGTTTGAGGTGTTTCCATAGTCTTCAAAAAGATCACCCTTAAACTGGAATGGGATATCCGAAGGCTGAATTTCTTCTTCCTTCATTTCCCATGGTTCGGTTGAGCATTCAATGGTTGAATCTTAAGATATGAAGGTTACAAGCTCCGATTCAACGATTGAAGGCTCGTCTTGTGTATGCTCGATTTCCTGAAAGGTTTCGCAACGAACGAAAAAGGTATTCTCCAAGATATGATCCAGGAGTTCCCTACCTTCCATCATTATTTTGTGTGCGAACGAACCTCCGGCGGAAATATCAGGATACATGGAAAACTCCTTGTCTAAATCCAAATAGGATTGTTGTACTAACACATGGTCAAGTAGAGACAAGTCTGAGTTGGCTTGAGTTAACAAGGAAAATCGATCCTAGGAAACACCAACGGATTGCTTCTTATTTTGCTAAAAATTGAGAACCACACCACGGAGAGAAGCTACATGGGTTAATGGGAAGAAAGCAAGGCAGAACCTACTTTCAACTCCACCCATTCACCGTATAGTTTTCTCACCGTATGGGTGTACCATTGTTTCACCCCTTCTGTAAGAGAAAAGGGAAACAACTTCCATCGTGAGGTGCCTTGTGCAATGCCTGCAATTATCAGGCATGAACACAGTTGCTCAAATTTCACGCAGATGATCATAGTGATTTTCGCTTTCGCATCCAGAGAAGGATTGTCCCTGAACCATCGCTATAAATCTAGGACTAAGTTCATAGCTAGATGTATGAATTGGTTTTGAAGAAGGGGTAGCTCACAGAACTTGGCCCTTGGAGCTATGAATACACACCAATGAGAAGATATCTAACTCACGTAAATTAATTAAACAACATAAAAGAATTTTGAACACTTACTTTATAAAAGGAAGCATCTGCTGAGGTACAAGGAAGAAGAAGGCTGACAATCCCGGCGTGTCGGTGAAATGGGAACGGGGTACCCAATTCCCCGGCAAAACAATTACAAGTAAAGTAAATGGCATGCTTAAACCATTCTAAAAAATAAAATGCTACCCCAGGGTGATGTAGGTGGGGGCCCACCTTTATCTGTTTGCGGGATAAGAATGTAACCTAAGGTATGCCTCGGACCCGGTCTTGTCCTGGGTCCCAGGCTCACCTTAGCTCATCTAGGTTACAATACTGCTCAGTGAAGAGAAGTGTTGAGACCTATAAAAGCTATGTCTTAAGAATGTAATCTAAGGTCTGCCTTGGACCCGGCTTTGTCCTGGGTCCCGGGCACGCCTTAGTCCTTGTAAGTCCTATGCTATCCAGTAGGAGGAGCGTAGAGACATACAAGGTCTACATCTTAGAAGATATAAAACTAAGGTCTGCCTCAGTCCCGGCCTCGTCCTGGGACCGGGGACACCTTAGCCCTTGTAGTTTCCGCATTCTTCTGCAAAGAAGAGCGTCGAAACATACAAAATAAATACATTATCTACTCATCAAAGACATCTTCGAGAATCTTGCCCAAGAATAGATGAATTATCATCACAAAAAGCGCAAGGGCGCGACCTCAGGATCGTCTGGGGAGATGGGCGTGCTCCACAGGGCTGTTGTGAAGCAGTCCTCTCCGCCATAAATGAAACATGTTTATGGGGAGCCCCAGCCAGTTGTTGACGGTTGTCATAAACCAGTTCCGACAACCAATATAACTATAATAAAAGAGAATTAGCTATGCTTATAATGCATATTTGTTTTAGATTAATATAGTTCCACTTGTACTTGGAGAATAATTTGTTGCAAGAATTAAGCAAATAAAATAATGAAAAAATAAGGAAAACTCACTCCTAAGTAAGCATATGGATAAGGAGGGCCCACATGTCAGGTGTAACCATCCGGAAACCACCTTAACTGTCACAACCGATAACAGGACCCACCTGTCGGTACCCTAGCCAAACATGGAGGCCTGCTGGGCCGGCCCAGGTTCGGCCGAACACTAGTGGCGACGGCTCAGCCCGGCCTTACACGTGGACATCCAGGATTGCTCGCTGATGGCGGTTGTGGGGCAGGAAGGTCATTTTGCCTTCTCAGAAACCGTCATACCGACCCTATAAATGGAGGAGCTCATTTAACTTCACAACACACTCAAGCAAGCTCAAGGTTCCTCTCATACTTTATTTTAGTAGTTTTAGTGCTAAGCGGAGTAGTATAGAATAGTTCTCGGAGTCCTCAGAGCTTCCAGAAGAGTTTCGGTATGGCTCTAATAGCTTTTCTACCCTCTTCTATAATACTTTCAGAATTAATGAAATACACTTCTTTATATATTCTCGGTACTTTAGTTAGTATAGGTATTGCTCTTACTTTACATTTGTGTCGGTATAATTGTGTGAGTAGCCTACTAGAGAGGTGCAATGGTGTGGGTTTAGTGTCCGATTTATCGGTTGCTTTATATCATCTACAGAGGTGTAGAGTAGTATTTATTAATGTAAGTATGGTGCTTAGATTACTAAATATCACTATCTAGGCATATATGCTGCGGGACAGTAGAGGTGCGCCGCTGACGGTGATAGCTCAGTATAGGTATTCCTCCATGTTAATATATATTCCTAAGACAAATTCCTGAGGAGGGTACTCCTCCATATTCAACCCCGGTTGGATGACCATGACAGGTTGTCGTAAGAAACTCGGCAACCTGGGATGGTCTCTCGAAACACCAGGAGGGGTATTGGCCACATAATTGTATACTAGCAAATGTAGACTAGAGTTTGAGTGTATATTAGAAGTATAGGAAATGAGTTCTTTCTATCTCTTCTCCCACTTAGTTTAGAATTATTCATATGAGGGAATCTATAAGCTTCGCTTCTTGTCACTCTACCCTTATATTAAATTAACCCCTGCTTAGACTTTGATGAAAGCAAGTAATATATATGTGTATATATTAGCATGGTTCTCTCTTTCATAATTTTACCTTGGATTAAATAAATATAATACATTGGAATACTTCCGGATGAAATGCTATAATGGTATATCTGTGCGCTTGCGGATTACTTAGGTAACCATAAATATACCTGGACTATTTCTGATGAACCCTGAGTTCCACTCGGCACTCAAGGCTGTTGTTGGCCCGATCTTTCAGTGAGTTGAGATAACTACGATTTAGTAGAAACGTTGACGATCCAACTACAACCGTACAAGACATTGTGTTGCGCCTTTGCGATCGATACACCTCTCCGTGGGTTGTTGATCTTGCCGGTGCAGATCAACCTTATTCCTGCAAGCAAATCGAAGAAACAAGCAAGAACATGATAAAAGCGATCTAAATTGCAAATAGGAATGAATACACACGATAAGTTGGGGTTTCAAATACAAGCAGACGGACGGTCTAGCCGACACGCGCGCTGCAAGGAAGTAGCAATGGCTAAACTTTCATCTAAACAAAACCCAAAAAACTCTAAAGTGGTACCTAACTATTTAAGGAGGTGGGAGGACGACCTAACGGGACCCTAGGGTCGTTCTCCACCTGGTTGGGGCGCACCCCACATGGGCCCCACTTGGGCCGGGGTCCCAGACGAAGTTACAAGCCCATAGGCCCATTATAGGTGACGCAGCACCTTCTTTTTGTGATTTCGGCCGACTGGGATGGAATTTGGCGATGAAGCTGGATCCATTGGAAAGATGACTCCGAGAGCTTTCCATCAAGTACTCATGGACCCAAAATGGAGCTCGCATGCATATTTGGCGGCCTTTTGAAGTCCACACTGTAGCAGGTGGCCGAACTGGATTGCAGAACTTGGACGGCTTGATCTTGATGTGAACTACGGTTGTATCTATAGTAGCCATGGTCACATCAATTTCTACATCATTGCTAGGAATGAATATTTCTACTAATGTCATTAAGAAATACCAACACCAGTTTGAAGTTGAAAGGACATGGACAAGAGGTATTGGTTAAGCACGAAGATGGAATCCTCTTGATGAGTGGAACAGCGGTACTGATGGTTTGCATGGAGATCTCATGGTTGCCAAGAATTGAGAGGAAGAAGAGAACTTCTTTTGATAATAGGAAGAAGAAAGATAGACGAAGAAGAAAACGACATTGAAGGCTAGCTACAGTCTGTCAGGTTGGGTCGTGTTGGTGCCTTTAGAGCTAACCTTCCGGTCCTTTTGAACGACTCAAATCGGCTACAGCTAAAGTTGCAGTCACTATAACAACTACTACAACTGATCCTAATCCCTGTGCAGCCCGTGTCAAGAGCGATCCAGAAAGACGAGACAGGTTACAAGAACAGGGACCGAGGAATGCATTTGGATGGTGAATTGGTGAGTGAGCTCCCACAAAACCTCTTGGCATCCGGATTCCTGTCGTCGTCGTTCACCCTTAACCCCCGCTTGTTGTAACCCGTTGGTCCCGCTTTATAAGCATAGGCCGTGTTTAGTTCCACCCAAATTCCCAACTTGCCATCATATCACATTGCATCGAAAACTTTCCTACTCACGTAAAGTACCAACTTTTTCTCCAAACTACCAACTTTCTCCCAACTTTCCAACTTCTCCACCATCTAAACACACCCATAGTGTAAAACAGACCATCGGTGATACATTTCACACTACTACATCTAACAACAGATAGCATTATATTTTGGTACTCTTCTCTTCTCTTGTTCAATCACCAACACCCTTCTATCTGATCCCATGCAATCCCTCCATTCTTATTAGATTCCACATCCTCCAAACTACATTTTGTAGTACTACTCCCAAAATACTACTACAAGAGAGCAGAAAAACAGAGAGGAGGGAATGCGCCTCCTAACTCGCATTTACAGATCAATGAGAAACTCCACCCTTGAAACTCAGACTTGTTACATCCAAAGGAAGAGAACCTAGCATCTTCAACCACTATCTAGTCGACCGATCACGCAAATTAAGTACATGATATGGTGTTCCTGGTAATTACCTGGGCTCCATGATCAATAAGTATGTTACTCAGTTGGTGTGCCCATGGGGCAGCAGCTTGAGGGCCTCCATGAAAGTGTTCTTGAGCCTGCCCAAATGTGGCCGCACATTCTGCTTGTCTAGGTAGACCATCTTGAGAGCGTTCCAGCCCTGCTTGTGGATGGAGTAGGGGTCCTTGAGCACCGGGTCGTCCTTGGGGTATTGCTCGCTCAGCGTCGTCTCGTCGAGCTGGATCATATATTCGAGGTAGTGGATCTGCATGTCGGCCGCCGGCTCCTTGAACGTGCCGCGGGCGAGCCATTCCAGGCCACCATACGGCACCACCTGGATGAGCACGGCGCCGGCAGGGAGGAACACCATGTTGGTCAGCCCTGCGCCGTGCACGCCCACCATCACGTCCGCCGAGTTCACCAGCCGGGCGAACTTGGACACGTCCGTGCTGATGTCCGGCTCGCCCAAACGCACGTAGAAGCCCAGGCTCATGGCCATGTCCGCCATGGCACGCTCGTTCAGGAACGCACGGGAGTTGCGCCGCGAGATGATCAGCAGTCGTGGGCGGCGCCGGATGTCCCACCGGTCGCCGCTGGGCTCAGCCACAGCGCGCTCCAGCCCGAGCGCTCCACGCAACATCGTGCGGAAGTCCACCATGGAGTACCCCGACGGCGTCCTGGACGCGTCCACACCGAGCTCCTTGTGGAACGTCGGCCCGACCACCACGCTCCGGTAACATCGGACCTCGTCATCATTGTCGATGTCAACCAATTCGTACTTGCTGAGCCGCTGGAAGATTTGCATGTACCTGTTCGTCCACCACGACTTGAAGCTGCTCACCAGGAACTGAACCTCGCCAGCGAAGCGGTGTGCGGTGATGAACGCCGGGATGAGCACGTCCGTGTAGTCGTGGAACGGGTTGCCCGTGAACCCGCCGGTGGAGAGCACGAACGCGGTGGCCGAACTGTTAACCGTGCAATGCGGCACCGCCGGGTATGTGTCGGCGGTGGAGAGGGGCCGAAGCGCCCACTCCTTGACGTGCGACAGCGCGAAGGCATCGTGCTTCCGGCAGTACGGCTTCACCTTCCACTCCTGCTCCAGTGGGCTGATGTGGATGGTCTGGCTGCGGCCGTGCACGCGGACGTCGCCGGTGGCCTCGCACGTGTCCGACCGCCGGCTTGACTCGTAACACACCGGCTTAGTCAGGTGGTCCGTGGCCGTGGTGGACGCTGCTGCAACAGCTGCGCTGCTTGCGCCACCGCCACCGCCACCAGCTGTGGTGTCTCCAGCCTTGGGCTGCGTTTCTTCTTCCTCTTCTGCTGCTGCTGCAGCAAAAAAATAAAAAAAAATCGCGAGTAAATAGACGGACAAAAATATCAATAGTAGCTACCCCTGAGCGTTTATTTCCTCTTCTGCACATTAAAGGCCACCCAAATTGTTCAGATCTGAACTAATTTCCGTAATTCCTTTGGACATTGAATCATAAATCATTGATGCATTTTTGTGCGCACAAGTTACAAGAAATGGCCTAAAATTTCAGAGCTCGAACCGTAGAGCGGAAACGGGAGAAGATTTAGTGCAATACTGCAATCTTGATAAATGAAGGACGAAATTTACTCTCAAATCCATACGGTCAGCTCCCTACATCCGTACATGCTACTAAATCGAAATACTAATAAATCTATATCACTCGAAGATGCAGGAGAGGAGGAAACTCGTGCTTACCAGCTGATGCTGCAGCCTCATCGGCGGCCTCGAGGGTCTCCATCTTCACACTCCCCTTCCTCATCGCCTCCTGCTCCTCTGTTTTGATGGCTTCCCCTGGCTTCCCTGCAGCACCCAGCAGGAAGACGATAAGAAAAAACAACACAGCTTAGATCAGTAATCAAATCACCGGCAGCCTAAGAACCAAAAAGCAGACCAGACCACCATGGCCGGCCGGATGCGAAAGGCAGTCAAGCTGAGCCGACGAAGAAGAGCGGAGCATACCGATGGGGGAGAACCTTGCCCTGACGAGGGAGAGCACAAGTAGGGATCCCAGCATAAACGCTATCAGTGCCGCATTCCCCAGCCTCCTACCGTCTCCCCTGGTCAGGTTCCTGTTAGACTTCATCGCCTTCCCCCTCCCCTCTCCTCCTTCTTCAAGACTGAATATTTGGATGGTTCATGAGGGAAAATCCGAGTCTTATACCACTAGCAATGGAAGCATGAGCTGGTGTTGAACAGGGCAAAGAGGTTGAAATGGTAGTGTGTTGACCCGGTGACAGCCACGGCTCAACACACAAACAAGGGTACTACTACAAGAAAGGGGAGGAAGAAGAAGAATAAAGGGAGGACTTGTATAGGAAGAGAAGGGAGGACAGAGATGAGAGCGCGTCAAAAGGGACGCAAGCCAAGCGGTAGCCTGCAGCAGCAGCCCGAGCTAATATACTTGTTCCTGAAATCTATTTTGGAGACTACTCTCGATTTTGTCTTAACTAGCAACGGCTAAACACGAAAAAACATGAAAAAGTCCAGCTGCTACATGGCACTATATGCATGCCTTTTTTTAGAACGTGGCTCCACAGCTAGTGCTAGCTAGTTTGTCTAAACCAGCTACCACTCCATTTATGAAAGATATTATCCACATATACTTTAAATACAATTTTCTCTTAAATTACTTATCCGATCTACGATCCGATTGCACCGTTGTGTTTATAGCAATTAAATCTTTATAACAAGATCTCACATGATTATATTTTAATGAAAAATTATAAATTACTTTTATAATATATCTAAATTACTTTTAGATTTTACTAAATTACTTCTTAGACATGTAAAAGTAAATTCAATGAAGCCTAAAAGTAATTTACATATATTATAGAAGTAATTTATAACAAAAAGAAATTAACTTTAATGAATGTCTTTTTTAATTGGATGTGACTACACAGTTAGTGGTAGCTAGTTTGTATTCTATCTAGTATCTCCTTTCAACTTGAAAAATACAATAGTATCTTTTTTTCTCATTCTACATGAAAAACAAAAATGAAAGGAAAAAAACAATTGATGATTAAACAGATTTACAGAGAGTTACTTTTGAACCATGCAAAAGTTACTTCCAATTAACATTGAAGTTACTTTTAAAAATTGTTAAACTTATGTGTGTTGATCTGTGCTGATTAAATTTAATTTCTAGATAAAGTCATATTTTTATCCCTACAACGAATTTACTTCTAATGTCGTGACAAAATTACTTCTGTTTTGTTTTAAGTTATTTTTATAATATATGTAAATTACTTTTAGACTTTTATATGTCTAAGAAGTAATTTAGTCAACTCTAAAAATAACTTATATATATATATGTGTGTGTGTGTGTGATAAAAGTAACTTAGTAATTTACAAATATAAATATTTTTTCATCGTAATATAATCATGTAAGATCTTGTTATGAAGATTTAATTGTAACGAACTTAGTGGTGTAATCGGATTATAGATCGGATAAGTAATTCGAGAGAAAACTTTATTTGAAGAGGAAAAGGATGTACATATATAGTAAAAAAACGTAAAATCTATTTGGAGGGGCATCTGGATTTTATCTTTAACTATCCGGTTATCCCAACAGTAACATCACACAGTTACCAACACTACAGAGCTGCCGTTGTCGCTGTTTCTTTTTAAGCTTATCTTTGTTGGATTAGTGATTAGTTTTATTGCTTCAAGGCAGATGACAGTGTTAGAAAAAGCACTAGGCCCAGAAAGAGATTCCTGTTCTTAGCGCCGGTGAAATACCTTCAAAATAATAATGTGCCCAATTCACTAAATCACTCTCTCCAAAATAATAATATGATACTTTCTAGTAGTATCAATATGAACACTAGGAAGTGTCCCATAAGACCATACTCCCATCCATCTAAAATCCCTTATATTATGGGATAAAGAGAGTACTTAGATGCAATGGAATGTGTCCATGAGACGAGTTCAGTTTCTGGACTTAAACGCTATTTTCTAAGTTATAAGCAAATAGACACGCCTGCACAAGTGTAATACTCCTTCCATCCAAAATATAAGAATATAGAACCGTCCCAAAATACAGTTTACTTGCCCAGATTCGTAGTAATAGAAAATGTCCTATCTGATACTACGTTCTTATATTTTAGAAGGGAGGGAGCATGTGCATTTGTGCATCCTGAGTTGTATAAAAATAAGAGTAAAGTGTACGGACGGTCTTTAAACTTATAGGGTTGTGTCATCTAAGTCCCTAAACTCTCAAAATGCATATCTAAGTTCCAGAACTTGTCATAGTATGTCATCTAGGTCCCAAATCGCCAAAACTCCTTCAGGACCATACGTTGTGTTGATGTGGCATGCCACACGGATATGATGTGGCATTATTTTGACTGACAAATGTTACCCATTTAAATTTTTTCCTTTTTCTTTTTTTCTTATCTTTTTCCCCTTTATTCTCCTTTCTCCGTGACCCGGGTAGAAGAAAGGAAAAAAAGAAGAATGAGAAGAAAACGGAAAAGAAAAAGAAAAATAAAAGAAGAAAAAAAAGAAAAGGACACGTCACGTCCATGTGGCATGTCACATCAGCGCCACGTAGGATCTTAGAGGAGATGTATCGATTTGGGACCTAGATGATACACTTTGACAATTTCTGGAACCTGAATATGCATTTTAAGAGTTTAGCGACCTAGATGACACAACCCTACAAGATTAAGGATCACCAATACACTTTACTCTAAAAATAATAATGCATTGGCATGTTTTGTCTAGAAAAAGACTTTAACAACTAAACTGATGGTGCGACCTGATGCTAAGCCAGTCAAGCAAAAACTGTGGAGATTCACACCAGATCGAAAATAGGCCATATGAGAATAATTGGACAAACTTGTCAAGGCCGGCTTCATCCGAGAAGTACTCCACCCAGAGTGGCTTGCCAACCCGGTTATGGTCCGTAAAGCCAACGGGAAATGGAGAATGTGCTTGGATTTCACCGACCTCAACAAGCCGTGACCCAAGGATTACTTCCCTCTTCCTCGAATAGACCAATTGGTGGCTTCGATAGCCGGTTGCGAGTTGTTAAGCTTCCTTGACGCTTACTCCAGATACCATCAAATCAACATGGCAAAAGATGATGAGGAGAAGACGCCATTCATCACACCCTTTAGTGTTTTCTGCTACACCAAGATGCCTTTTGGATTAATCAGCGCAAGCAACACATATCAGCGTGAGATCCAAGGGGCTCTTGGTGACCAACTCGGATGAAATGTTGAGGCCTACATCGATGATGTCGTGGTCAAGACAAAGACGCGTGACACACTAATTGATGACCTCAGAGAAACATTCAATAACCTCCGACGACATCGCCTCAAGTTAAACCTAGAGAAGTGCACGTTTGGAGTACCATCTGAGAAGCAAACCCTGAGAAGATCAAGGCCATCGAGAACATGAAATCACCCACCAGACTCAAAGAAGTGTAGAAGTTGACCGGATGTATAGCAGTACTTAGCCGCTTCGTAGCCAGGATAGCCAGAATGGGAGAACGAGCACAGCCTTTCTTCGCTTTACTCAAAAAGCAAGACAAATTCGAGTGGACTCAGGACTCCGAGAACGCATTTCTCGCGCTCAAGCGCTACCTGTCAAATCCCCCTGTACTTGTTGCCCCACAACCTAACGAAGAGCTCTATCTATACATCGCTGCCACACCATATTCTGTGTGTACTATTATCGTCGTCGAAAGGGAAAAGGTGCAACACCCAACATACTATGTAAGCGAAGCCCTCCATGATGCAAAAGCCAAGTACCCACATATTCAAAAGCTGCTCTATGTTATAGTCATGACATCAAGGAAGCTTGGTCACTACTTTTAGGCACACAAAGTCACAGTTGTCTCTTCTTTTCCCTTGGGAGAAGTCGTCAGGAACAAAGACGTTATTGGCCGCATTGCAAAGTGGGTAGTCGAGCTCAGTCAATTTGAAGTCCACTTTGTGCCAAGAACATCCATCACATCCCAAGTTCTCGCTGATTTCGTAGCTGACTAGACTATTCCCAAGAATAGAACAAGCAGCCAGACTGATAATGAGACATGGACCATGGCATTCGACGGTGCACTCAACAACCAAGGAGTAGGAGCCGGATTTATTTTGACTTCTCCAACAGGAGATCAATTCAAACATGCAATCCACCTAAACTTCCTCACAACAAACAACATAGTAGAGTATGAAGGACTCCTCATTGGTATTCGAGCAGCCGTTGCACTCGGGGTTAAACGATTGATTGTGAGAGGGGACTCAGAATTAGTCGCAAACCAAGTGTAGAAGGATTACAAATGCACCAATCCCGAGTTGGCTAATTACCTCGCTGAAGTCAAGAAACTAGAACGAAACTTTGACGGCATCGAGGTTCCACACGTTTATCGCAAGGATAACATCGAACCAGATGACTTAGCACGACGGGCATCCAAAAGAGAACCTCTTGAACCTGGAACCTTCTTAGATGCCCTGATAAAACCATTCGTAAAAGAGTCGCACGACGAAAGTACCATAGCCAATACCGACAACTCCTCGAGGGCTCAATGATGAGGACACAACTAGCTCGAATATAACCATGACTACCTTATGTATTAATCAACCAAAGGTGCATATGGTCTATATTAGATTTACATGTTATATATTTGAACAAACGTTGCTACAAAGTGAGTTTCGTGTGTTTTTGTTTGCAGAGGTACTTGCTTGGGCGAAGGAAAAGAGACCGAGCGTAACAAATGCATGGATAATCAAAGAAGTTGATTGGGGACCAAATCAAGACCTTCTCCAAGTCTACTTCTACCTCACCGCGTCACTTTTGGTCCAAAGAAGACAAGAGATAAAATTATACACGTTTTGGATTCGGATTCGGGCCTCCTAATAGAATCAAATTCAAATGGACCTATCCGCTAATATAGAAGGAATTTTGGGGCCCATGAGTACTTGTTGGAAAGCTTATGGAGTCTACTTTCAGATGGTTTTTGTCCCACATAAAAATTCCTATCGAGCTGCCTGGAATCTGCAAAGCAAGCCATGTATCTCATCCAGTCCGAATCTGATTTATGTTTTGGGCCTTATAATTGTGTAGTGGGCTTAGCCCAAGGTGGTGTTTGCCCTAGGACAACCTTAGGACGTCCCTAATCATACTTAATCAGTAGCTGTCATCGTTTAGAGTCGGGTTTTTCTTAGATTAATCTGTCAAGAACAGTTTCGCCGCTAGATCGGTTTGTAGAACCCCAAATTCGAGTGCTTAATCATTCATATGCAATTGTGTTGCAATCTATCTTGTTCTTGCTTGTGTTCTTTGATTCGCATACAGAGATTAGTCTTCTTGGCGAGGTCAACTATGTTTCGGCACGGTTGATAACCAGAGGAGACGTGGTGCTACGATTGCG